TTAAAAAGTTTTTAAAATTTATTTCTCCCAACCTCTCAGAAAACAAAGGACTACTGGTCCCACTTCATGGATGAGCAGGTGAGGCACACAGGTAAACAATGGGGGGTCTCTGACTGCTTCTGTGGCACCACCCAGCTTCACAACGGGCGAGTGTGCCTGACCCTGCTCTGGCGTGTGTATACTTCCAATCCACACAGCACACACGGTTTGAAGGCTGACTTTGTGCAGGCCACTGGGCCACACAGAAATGAAACACAGAGTGTATGGACAACCTAGTTGAGAAGACAGACTCATATTTACTATTCCAAAGGTAAAGCAGACTGTGATGAGTGCTATAAAGCGGGTACAAACCAAGTCTTCGACAGGAACATTTCTTGTACACACTATTCCCGTGTAGGTATTTGTGCCTTGGAAGTGAAAGTGTTAGTCACTCAGTCACGTCTGTCTCTTTGCAGCCCCATGAACTGTAGCCCGCCAGGCTCCTCTGTCCATGGAATTCCCCAGGCAAGAACAGTGGAGTGTGTTGCCATTCCCTTCTCCAGGGGATCTTCTCGACCTGGGGATCGAACCCAGGTCTGCATTGCAGGCAGAGTCTTTAGCATCTGAGACACCTTGGAACATGTTATTTGGCCCCCTTCCCCTCTACATGATTTTAAAGTCAGCCGCCTGCATGACTACTGCTGAGTCACATACTCCGTGATCTTCCATTTCCACTGACATTCAGAAGGTGATCATGTCAAGGGTCATTAAATCCTTCTCCAGACACCTTTTGAAAGAGTCTCTGAAACTCTAGATCACAAGACGTCTATACCAAAAGTGTTACATTATGAGAAGGCAAAAATCTAGTTAGAAATCAGGAGAGGCAGTGTTTGCTGGAATCTGGGTCAACTCATGTAGGAGGAAGAAAACCATTTCAAATTGGATGTAGACATATCACATCAAACATACTGCTCTCTGCTGAGGGTTATGACAAAGAAGATTCAGTCTCCAACTTTTCATAAAAACTATACAAAGCAAGTCTTCTGTGGGTGTTGAACTAGGGGACAGAAAATGTAGAGTGAATTATTTGTCTTCTCAACAGGTATTTCCAGGGAGTGGGAAAGAGAGGAGGCATCTCTAAGTCAGACAGACATGGGTTCAGATCCTAGACGTGCACATCACATAAGTGACTTATCCTACAGACCCTCAATTCCCTCCTTTGCAATCCAGGACTGGTGCTATCTCTGTCAAATATCTTTATGAATATTAAAGAGCCTAGTATGTATAAAGTATGCAGCAAAGAGCCTGGTACATATTAGACTCTGAAAAGAGCTTGCATATTCCTCTGCTCTGTATTCAGTTGATTTCATCCTATTCCAATTGCTTTGGGCACAAGAATGATTCATTAATAGTTTACTTCTTACAGAAAGACTCCATACACATCTTTTACTTGAAGCCTATCTTACTGATCTTGTTTTTCCTTTTTAAGTCCACACATCTGAGGCACTGAGAGTATTTTTACTACCAGTTGGGGAATTTTATACTTTTAAAGTATGTAGAATGAACATACATAAACATGCATTTAAAACAATTATTCAAACTTGCCCCCAAACTGAGAACCATAAATTAAAATCTGCATTCTTCTTGGTAACCTCTCCCACATGTCCAAAATCATGGGGCAGCCAATATGCCTACAGACCTGACCCTGAAGCTCTACTTGCTGACACTTTTATTAAAATTCCACTTGGAAAGGCTGTAAATATTTTATCATTGTAGGTTTTTGCAAACACTGATATTTTATGCCTCTAGCAATCTCCAGTTTCTAAATATTTCATCTTCTTGGGTAGCATGCAATATCTGAAATGAAGTTCTGCTGCCAAATTTCCCAAATCTTAAAAACCTGTAGTTCTTGAAATTAATACTGATTAGTGTTAGGATACATATTTTTGTAATTTCCTCTGTAGATTTGGTATCATTGTTCTCTTTTAATGAAACTGAAAAACAGTAGAAATGTTATCAATGGAAGGATTTATCCCCCAAATTTTCCGAACAAATGCATACATTTGCCTAAATTTTACAGAGAATTGTAAAGCACCAGTCCATTTGCAATTGCTTTTACGAGCTGAGAATGAAGATACAGATCCAGAATTCATCCAAAGGCAAACTACCCTTCCAAAGTGAATGCCTCGAATGGTGTCCACTTCTATTTTTAATACCCAGAAGAAAAGACGTCTTCAAAAGTCTCAGCACCAGTGGAAAATAAAGCCTTTCTTTCTTTCCAAGACAAAGGCAGAAAAGCAGAGTGATCAGGACGCTATAACTGAGTTAGGGTCTGACCAAAAGAGAAAAAGAAGATGGAACCTGAGACAGACGTCAGAATCCCTGTCATGATATCACTACAAGCAGCCACCAAGAGTCTGGAAGGATTGGCACTAGAAACTGTATCTATTTGCCACCTCAGGATTGAATGATCTTTAATTTTTTTGTCTATGAATCTAGGTTACATTTACTAGAGGGAAAAAAGAAAAACATTCCAACTATTCAACTGGATAGATGAATAACCTCTAAAAGCTACCAACTCAGTGAAAATGTCAGTCACTCAGTTGTGTCCCACTCTTTGAGGCCCTATGGACTGTAGCCCGCCAGGCTCCTCTGTCCATGAAATTCTCCAGGCAAAAATACTGGAGTGGGTTGCCATGCCCTTCTCCAGGGGATCTTCCCAGCCTGGGGATCAAACCTGGGTCTTCTGCATTGCAGGCAGGTTCTTTACCATCTGGGCCATCAGGGAAGCCCCAACAACTCTGCAGAGATGGTAAAAACTGTGACTAGTTGAAATGAACATCTGACCTTCTCCGGGGAAAGGCCTCACCAGGTACTATGAATTCACTCAGTGCCTGTTCTTCAAATGCACTACTTTCACTTCCCCCATATACCATGCTGCCAGCAACCGCAGGGCCTTTGCACATGCTGTTACCTTCAGGGAGAAAACCTTTTCTTCCTCACCCCTTGCCTTCTACTCTTTCCCCTAATAACACAGCTGGTCACCTTCATATCTCAGACCAGTCAACTCTATAGAGTCACCCTCCCTGAATTTCCTCAAGATACAAAATCACTTATTGAGAGTACAAACCCCAGGTGCAACTTCACATTTGCTTTCAATTTTGAAAATGAACAAGGGCCTCCTTTCTAGATTCTGGACCCTACAACAGCAGAGGCCTGTCTGGTTTTGCTCAGGATCGTATCTTCAGAATTATGCTTAACAACTGGCCCACACTGGGTGCTGAATAAATATTTAAGAACTGCATCAATGAATAAAATGTCACAGGTTTCAACACTCATTGTTTCCAAGGTTCTAGCAAGGCATATTGTTATATCTTGGGAGTTCTTTTTTCTTAGTTTAGTAGGGTGGGGAATGCAAGTTTTTCACCAGTTCCCAACTATGCCTCTGGGTTTTTTTAAGAGCTCCCTACTTGAATAAAGATGGTAATAATTTCTGTTACTATTTTCCACAAGACAGAATGGCAGGAGAAGGTACCAAAGATGTGGTCACAAGACAAACCAGAAGCTCCTCATGCAGTAAGGACCACGAGGCTCCCCAGTATGGCAGGACCCAGATACAAGCCCTACTGATGCCTGCTATTGCACTTTGGGGCTCACATGGTGGCTCAGATGCTAAAGAATCTGCCTGCAATGTAGGAAACCTGGATTCAATTCCTAGGTTGGGAAGATTCCCCGGAGAAGGGAATGGCTACCCACTCCAGTATTCTTGTCTGGAGAATCCCATGGACAGAGAAGCCCAGCAGGGGTCACAAAAGTCCCAGCAGAAGTCCATGGGGTTGCAAAAAGTCAGGCACAACTGAGCAACACATACACCCACAGACACACACATTGCACTTTTAGTTTTATTGCTTCCTACTAAGGTATTTTGTCCAAAGGCTTTTATTTCTAATGCAAATATTCTCAGAAATGGTGTCACTGTTGCTATCACTTAGGCAGGAATTAAGTTATCTGTGTAAATTTGTTGATACTAGATATTGGTGTGGAGGGAGATGATAAGTGGGGCACTTCAACACTGAAATGCGCTCCTTGAGCAAAGAATAAGGTGCCCACTGCTGAGGATATTCCAGTGGAGCTAACTGTCTACTTGTAAAGAACCCTGTGGAGGGGATCACTGCACTGGCTGCATAAGTGGAGGGGTGGCCTAAGATTTCCTCTGACTCTCAGATGCTATGAGCTTCTGGCACATTTCTGATGAACTGGAAAGGAATGCCTTTCAAACGCATATGAAAGGCGTGGGGGAAAGGCACTGTCTGGTACAAGTCTGGAAAAAGACATGTGCTGGCCAAATGACTTTGGCAGAAACTTAACTTTTTAAGCCTGTTTCCTTTTCTTAATAATGGCTTTTGAAGGATTTGGAAATCATCAAAGAGGACAGACACATGCTATAAAATTTTACATAAACTATGTTGTACTATACATGTGGGGGTTTTTTTGCTACCGTTACATCAAGAAAAACTCCTACATCTTCATTGCTTTATGATTTCCATGGGCTGAAAGGAAAATTTCAGGACAAGTAGCATCAGGGAAGGAACACAATTATTCTTCTCTATCCCAGTGTCCTAAAAGGCAGAGATAGGGTCGAGTCATCCAGGGATGGTGTGCCTGAAGACAGAAACATTGAGATGAGTTGTGAGAGACAAACGAAGCTGCAGTAAGGTGCGGCTGCACTGCACTTGGTCCTGCCGACTCTCTGCGACCCCACGGACTGAAGACCCCCAGGCTCCTCTGTCCATGGAACTTTCCAGGCAAGAACACTGGAGTGGGTTGCCATTTCCTTCTCCACGGCATCTCCCTTACCCAGGGATCAAACCCACATCTCTTGTGTCCCCTGCGTCAGCAGCTGGATTGTTTACCACTGTGCCACCTGGCAAGTCTTCCACGTAAGTAAGCTGGGCGTGAACTAAAACCTTCTAAACTAAAACTGTGTAATAAAGCAGCACATGCCAAGGCCCAGAGCCTACCTTCATCCCCCACGAACATTCCAGTGTTAGTCCAGTGGAGACTGACGCAGAGGAACCGAGACCCCACTGACTTTCTAGGACCCCCCACAGCTGGAATTCCGTTTCCAGGAAGAGTGTTTATATCTTGGTCAGGTCATAATGTGTAAAATCCATAAGATTGCTCACAAAACAACAACAAATAACATTTAAGTGTCTAAAGGTGGTATCGGTCCATTCTCGAACATTCATCTTACCAGCTTAGAAACTTGCTCCAAAGGTCACCTTTACACTGGAGTGTAATTGCTCTGCAATGTTGTGTTAGCTTCTGCTGTACCACAGCATGCATCAGTCTTACGTCTACATATGCCCGCTCCCTACTGAGTCTCCCTTCCACCCCCCCATCCCATCCCTCTAGGTTGTCACAAGGCACTGGGTTGAGCTCTTGAGCTATGAAGCAGCTTCCCACTAGCTGTCTATTTTACAAGAGGTAGCGTGCATCTTCAGTGCTACTGTCTCAGCTCGTCCCACCCTCTCTGTCCCCCACATCCAGTCCATTCTCTACATCTGCGTCTCTATTGCTGCCTGCAAATAGGTCCATTAGTTCCTTCCTTCTAGATTCCATATATATGCATTAACATATATTTGTTTTTCTGGCTTACTTCACTCTGTATGACAGACTCTAGGTTCATCCACATCGCTACAAATGATCCAATTTCATTCCTCTTTTTGGCTGAGGAATATTTCACTGGATATATGTACCACATCTTTTTTATCCATTAATCTGTCAGTGGACATCTAGGTTGCTTCCACATCCTGGCTTTGTAAATAGTCCTGCAATGAACACTGAGGTACATGTCTTTTTGAGTTATGGTTTTCTCAGGGTTTATGCCCAATAGTAGGAATGTTGGGTCATATGGTAGTTCTATGCTTAATTTTTAAGGGATTTCCATACTGTTCTCCATAGTCACTTTATCAATTTACATTCCCATCAACACTGTAAAAGCCTCTTCTCCACACCCTCTCACCTTTTGTCAAACACATCACTATCCCTAATGTTTACCTAATTTTAATCTCTCCCATGTTCTCTGACCCACTGTTGCAGAGAAAAGAAAGAGGAGGAGGAGGAAGAGGAGGGGAAGAGGAGGGGGAAGAGAAAGAAGAAAAGAGGGGGTTAGTGAAGAGCTGCTAGTGTTTCTCCTTTTCACCCTTATTCTCTCATGCATATTTTTCTCTTACTTCATTAATTCCCATCCAAATCCTTCCTGTTACACTCAGTAGAAAGCTCATTTCATTTCTAACTACCTCCTTTGAATCCTCAAAATTTATGCAAATTTTTTCTATATATCCAACACCAACTAAATCATACCTTTCCGGATGTGTTTCCTCTGGCTTATTTGTGCTTTCACCCTCCGTAAATCATGTCTGCACATGTAATACAGGGGCTTTCCAAACCGCCGATGCTTGAGCCTTACTTCCAGAGATGAGGGTTTAATTGCCTGGGGTGTGCTCCTTCCATAAATATTTATTAAAAGCATCCCAAGTGATTCATGTGCACTAAGAGCTATTAATAAAAACCATGGCAGACTGATTCCAGGGCAAGGTTATCATACGTATCTGTGTTTTTCTGATTCTAGCACCTAACACAGTCTCAGTAAATGCTTGCTGAATTAACTACAAGTCCAGCCTATTTTGTTGTTCCTTGATTCTACAGCATTTCATGGGGTTCCCATTTCAACTTTCAGAGTTGTTTTGGAGAGTGTGGAACACAACGTCCCATCAGGAAAGTGTAAACTCTTCTCCCTAATGAATTTTATCCTTCCATTGGTCTCATTCAACTCTTATCAACAACAGTTCTATAAACATCAGCCTGAAAGCACATGGAAGCATATTTCCCAAGGCTGCTAAGCCATTCTTTCTCCTCTGCCCCAACAGAACAACAGATATACTGACCTACAATAATGTTAATAAGCCACAGAAGGTCAGGGATTCTGAGAGAGGAGTAAATTCCACACATTCAAACTTAACAGTTAATTATCCCAGAATAAAGTAATAACCTAAACTGTACTTAATGCTAGAAATCTTAAAAGTGTCATCCTGTTACAGAAAATATTTTAGGACACTAATGATCATAATCAGGCAGGAAAGTCCTTCAGCTCATGGGCCAACCAAAACTATTTTAATGTTTGAGAATGTGGCGTGGCTTATGTAGCATCTAGAATCACTTGCTGCATTGAATATGGTATTGTTTTGCTGATTTTTCCTTTTTCACCTCAAGTCACGTGAGAAATTTCATGCAAAGGGAGGACAGGGTTCAACAAAGGTATCAACACAGCAAAGTACAAAAAACTACTTTATAAAATTATTGGTATTAAGTTGTTCATGAATTTTGTTATATTCTTTTTAATGACTGTAGCATATACCTACAGTGATACACTTTTGTCTGTTACTCATATTGGTGAATGTTTTCTTTCTTGATTTATCTTTCTAAGGGTTTATTATCATCATTAATACTTTCAAAGAACCAACTTTGGCTTTGTTAATTTTCTCTATTGCTTTCTACTATGAATTTCTGTTGTCATCTGTAGTATCTCTTCTTTCTTGTTACTTTTAAGAATTTTTTCCTTAGCTTGCAATATTTAAAATGGGCATTGATGTCACTTTATTTTTTTCCTTAGCTTGCAATATTTAAAATGGGCATTGATGTCACTTTGTTTATCTTGCTTGGGGCTTGTTGAATCTTGCATCTATGAGCTTGTATTCTATATGAAGTCTGAAAAATTTTAATCATTGTTTCCTTCTCTATTTTTCTCATACATTGCCTCCCTCTACCCCTAAGCTCTTTCTTGGCTTCTTCCAGGACTCCAATTACACATCTTACTACTTGTTACTGTCCCATAGTTTATCAAGATTCTTTTCTTACTCCTCCTCATTTAAGATTTAATCATTTCTATTCCCGTCTTCAAGGTCACTGATACATTTTTTTCTACAGTTTATTATTTACTTACAAGTTTATTGCTGGGAAAGATTGAGGGCAGAAGAAGAGGACAACAGAGGATNTGTCCCATAGTTTATCAAGATTCTTTTCTTACTCCTCCTCATTTAAGATTTAATCATTTCTATTCCCGTCTTTAAGGTCACTGATACATTTTTTTCTACAGTTTATTATTTACTTACAAGTTTATTGCTGGGAAAGATTGAGGGCAGAAGAAGAGGACAACAGAGGATGAGATGATGGTTAGATGGCATCACCGACTCAATGGACATGAGTTTGGGAAAACTCCAGGAGCTAGTGATGGACAGGGAGGCCTGGCGTGCTGCAGTCCATGGGGTCGCAGATTCGGACATGACTGAGTGACTGAACTGAACTGATCTGATGAACTTTTTTCAGATATTACTTCTTTCAATACCAAAAAGCTTATTTTTTTCTCTTTTATAGTTTCCATTTTTTTCCACTACAATACTTTTATCTGTTCCCTCCTTATTCTCATTTACTCCTTTAAGTTCTTATTTCTGTTTAGAATGCCTATTCTTAATCATTGTCCCCTTTCCTATTTCTTTTAACTTGGTCTTCTTCGTCTTGATTTGTAATATTTTAAAGTAGAATCAAGACATTAGTTCTTTGATACATGTTGCACATAGTATTACCTTTTTCATGCAGTGGTTTATTTTTGTATACTTTGACTATATTTATAATAGTTGCTTTATGTCCTGGTAAGTTAATTCCTACCATCTTTGTCATTTTTGCATGTCCTTAATATTTGACTGATTTTTCTCTTGATTGTGGGTCATTTTGCTGTGTCTTTGCATGTCTAACAATGTTTTACTTAATCCTAGATATTGAAGATGCTATAGTTTCAGTCCCAGTTAAAGAGAGAAATTTTAACTTGCAGACTAGTTCACTTGTGGATCAGCTTGATCATCTTGAGACTTTATAAGTTTTGTTAGGGCTGGGCTGAATCCTCAGATGTGGCTTTTCTGAAGTGTCAGTTATCTGAGGCAGTCAATAAAGTCTGTGGTGGGTGGAATTCAAATGTCTTCACAACACATGTAAACTCTGGAATCTCCATTGATTCCTCAGCTCCCTGGTAACTGGTTTTCGCCCTGGATTTCAGAGTCTCACCCAGCGCAAGCACATCGTGGTATCGGCTAAACGCTAAGTGGGAGTCTCATGCAAGCATCCACAGTCCTTTTTCCTGTGCAGTTGTTTCCTATTACTCTGTCTCTAAACTCCAGGCCCCCACAGTATCTCCAAACTCTGAACTCTGTCTCCTTCACTCAGCCAGACACCTGTGCTCTTCCTGGTCTCCAGTCCCAGATGCTACCACCACAATGTGCCTCTGAGAAGAATGCTGCAATCACCATGGAGCTCACTTCACTTGTATTCCTTATTTAGGGATCACGGTTCTGTTGTGTCTGTTGTACAGTGTCCGAAAGTACTTTTTCACATTAAAAAACATTCTATTTCCAGTTTTATCTAGTTTTATAGCTGTTTATGGCAGTAGGGCTAGACCATTACCAGTTACTGTGTCAAGCCAGGATTAAGAATCCTCCCTCTGCCACGAACATTTTATGAATCTAACGAACAATAAAGCTACAAAAGGAGAGCAAATTGTTCCCACTTTCACAAATGTGCTAGATCCTGGCATTGCTTCTTAAGAACCCAAACTTCTAATTCATTTGGTTAATGAGACTTTTGCATGGAGTAAATGTAGCATTTAACAGTTATGTGAATTTCTGCAAGTCTTTTAACATACCCAAACTTTCATTACTCATCTTTTTTTTTTCATTTATTTTTATTAGTTGGAGGATTACTTTACAATATTGTAGTGGTTTTTGTCATACACTGACATGAATCAGCCATGGATTTACATGTATTCCCCATCCCGATCCCCCCTCCCACCTCCCTCTCCACCCGATCCCTCTGGGTCTTCCCAGTGCACCAGGCCCGAGC